TTCCAACTTATCCTTTGGGATCCGATTTGTTGATTATTAGTATCAATCACCAAACCTAAGAACTCGATAACAGTTGTAGGCCTTACTGTTTTCTCATCTGCTAAAGGCACCCCAACTTCCTTACAAATATCCTGAAATAACTCCATAAGCAACTTGCAATCTAGGGTACCCTTTTCCCCAGCTAATAAAAAATCATCTAAATAGTGCACAACATTTTGCAACCCAGACTTTGACACTAAGACCCACTCCAAAAATGATGAAATTTTTCAAATAGATAACATGCACTAGCACAACCCATCGGGGGGCATTTGTCAAAATAATACTTATCACAAAGCTTGAAACCTAACAATTCAAACTGTGATGGGTGTAGCGGCATTAAACGAAATGCACCTTTAACATCAAGCTTGCCCAGGAGGGCACCTTTCCCAAGGGAATTAATCATGTCAATGGCCTTATCAAATGAAGTATATGAAACTCTACAAAAAGATACAAAATGATATAAAAACAAAAAGTTTTGACAGTTTACTAAGAGAGAAAAACCCTTTTTACGGATTTTTGGCTCAAATCTGAACTTAGATTGGAAGCTTTTAAAAACTAACATACTTGTAGTTTGTTTGGAAAATCATATTTATTTGATATATTTTAAAACTTTAGTCCCTCATTATTAATTTAACTTATATTTAAAAATTTTCTCCAAGTCCCTGATTGTGTAAAAATCATAACTAAATTCATTGTTCTATCATTATTTTGAGAGGCAGAAAAGAAGATATTTTCATACGCCGCCATTCCGCCAAAAATATAGTCCCTGCTAGATTTCAAACTCAGTTTACCATTTCTATTTAAAGTTGTACAATTGTGATGAGGAAAGAAAAATATGACCTTTTAAATCTCTTACATCTAAATATATAAAACATATAGCAAATATACTTTGAATATTTTATCTAGTCAGAAGCCAGATAAGAATCCCTCCTTAAATAGCTACGACGCATGAAGAGTTATCTCTAAATAAAGATACAACGTAGATGTCTTTATTTATACGGCGGGTATGCCCAGCTTGTTATAGCAAAACATTTCACATTTTACTTTTATTTCATGCAGTTTTTAATAACATAGCGACCTGTTGGTCGACTTTTTTTTTTACATTTATAGTTGTATGTGCCACTGTCGCCAGCTTAGTACGATAAAAAGCAACAGTGGCCAATTAATGTACCTCGCACAGCATTTTGAAAGGTGTACTGAGTGAATATATTTCAATAAAAAAAACTGTGTCTCATAATCACGTTGTTCGCCGATATATGGCTGAAATAGTGCCGATTCGGCGTAAAACATTAATCAATCAATCAATCATAATCACGTTGTTGATACTATATCCAAGACATTCCATTGAGTCATTTCAATTTACTTATTTCAAGACAAATCAGGGCAACTACTTACACTGTAACGGATCAAAAAAGAACCCTCAAGAAAACCCAATAATAATTCTTCTGCATCGTCTCTTAAAGGGTAATCATTCAAATAAGGTCTAAGGCATTCTATTTTAATTGGAGTGTGAGCGAGGGACAGTAGCTCTAATTGTTCCACCTCCTCCTCTTGGGGTACTGAATCTAGGCCCTGATGCTCGTGGTCTTGAGTATGCTTGACCACTACCAGCTTAGACTGCAGGGTTCCTAAAAGTGGAAAAAGCCGAACTACCCACGTTAACTCTACACTTCACTGAAGGATGAAAACCTGAACACTTTAAACATCTATGATTATAATGACACGACTTCCTAACACAGACCCCATTAAAATTGTAATCATAACATTTCAGCGAGCCTGTTGAAACCTTACTGTAATTATTACTGGGCCCAGTAGTAGACGGAAACATATAGAGCAACCAGAGTTTCTGATCTATACTGCACCATGAAATGAAAGGATTATTTACTTTCTTTAACCTAAACTGGATATCGTAAGCTTTCCACCCTAAACTAGTCACTGGCAACCTACTGGCTCCCAAAAGTACATTGTACATGTATTTGAAAATTCCGGATATGCTTTCGGGCTGTGCTGTTGAAAAAAATGCTAGCATAAATAATAAATGCATTTGTCCACTCACTGATAGTTGTGATTTTTCGTCTGGCCATTTTAGGTTTTACAATCAACAAACCACCAGATAGTGAAAGTTCCCTACTATCATCATCTACATTCAAATTACTGGGTAACAACAAAGCTAGATCAATATATTCTGAGTTGATAATCTTTGATTTGATAGTGTTTCAGACATGATAATTAAGTTCATGATTAACACTGGAAGTTTGAAATAATGATGCATCTTGTGCAGACTCATTGAAATTACCAAGTGTTTGAGGGTCGCTACTACCAGTGATTGTCGGTATGGCCTGTGCGGTAGCTATCTTTTCTGCCAGGGCATTCAACTGGTCGTCTGATAACTGCAGGTTGACTGTGTTAGTATTTCCTACCAGCCGGTTTCCCTCCTGGCTCTGCGACTCCTCCCTTGAATCCATGGCTCTGCTTGCCTTCTGCCTAGAGTGCACTGGGTTGGCAGCTGCAGGTCGCCTTTTCACTCCCCTTCCCCGTGGCATGCTTAAATTAAATCATGCAAATCTGATGAACTCGTAAATTACATCTATAATCACTTTAATTGTAACTTGCGCATTTGCACTTACCAACAATATCTGTATTCTGAAAATTATGTAAACTTGTGCATTTGCACTTTTCAACAATATCTGTATTCTGAAGAATCTTTTTTTTTTTTTTTTTTTTGCAGAGTTTGTCTGTTACAGACTTCACTCTCCTTAAGCACAATTATCAGCTGATTATACTTATCTGTAAATACAAGTATGTACATGTGTAATTATACTTGTCAATATGTACCCCGCTACCTAAGTCTACCTTTCTTTTCTGACTGTCACCCCACCAAAGTATCTGCATATGCCCTCTGTCTTCACAAGGTGGTCTGCTGAAACTACTATTAACTGCAATGCTGTAAAGGTATGTCACTCGTCAGCTTTTTAGAAAAGTTCAGTCAGAACCTTTATCACAAAAACTATCTATTACAATTAAATTTTTATAACATATTTAAATTAAACAATGCAAATTATTCAAGATTCAATTAAAAAACTGCTCACAAATTCATAAAGAAGCAAGATTTATGAGGGACTATTTCTTGTGGTGGAAGGATATTTAGAAGAAAATTCTTCAAATTTACACATTTGTTTGATTAAATATCTTGGAACTTTAGTCCCACATATTTTTATTTAGAGAATATTTTCCATTATGACATGCTAGGAATATTAAGTATAGGTCTCAATGTATTATTTTAGAACAAATTTTACACGTTCACTCAACAGACTTTGCCAAGAAATGAAGATGTATTAAAGAAGTCAAGATAAAATTTACACCGTTTTTTGCCTGAAAATCGCACATTTTGACCAATATCTCAAAATTTACATCACTGACCCCAATTTTTTCTTTCACTATTTTAAACAACACGATGCTTCCTACCGATCAGCACATAAGTCATAAAAAGTTTGATACAAGAAAATATTTTATTGCCTATTTAGATTTTTTTATACCCCAAATATGAGACTTTTTAGTGCAAAAAGGTCACACAATATATGCGCATTTTAAAATTTGCATGATTTGTTCAATGATAAATATTATTCAAACTATTTTAGGTAAAATAAGGTTATATTTCTTGCTATAATTACATCTGATAAAATATGATAAAGATTAAAGTGAATAACAAAAAAGTTACAATTTAAGTGCAAAAAGGTCAACTTAATCGTACCGTAGCTCAGTAAGATGTACACTGACCCCCCATTTTCTTTGCGATTTTGAGTCATACTATATGAGTACTTATCTAAAATATACTTCTTAAAAAATCCTTGATATAACTAATTTCACGAGTGACATACCTTAAAACAGTTCAAATATACAATGTTGACGCGTGACGTCATCACGCCCGAGCGTATGAAGACCCCGGAGCAGAATGGTTAGAAAAATTAAGAAATGTCTAGATATCTCTCTCCCCCCCCCCCCACTCCTTCAAAGCTATGCAACTATTCTTATTTCCTTTGAAATTTATTTTAATATTGTCTCTATTTTTTAAAAATATATTATTATTAAAATGGGGAAGAAGGGGGGGGGGCTGCAAACACAATTTTAGTAGAACCAGTCTATGTGTCCACGGTACCTAGCGTATAAACTAGAGGCGGAACATGATTATTTGATAAATTTATATGAAATATAGCTTTGATTTACAAGTGACATGAGATTATAACAAAGCTTGGCGAACATGGCTATAGATAGTTTTCATATAACGTATTTTTTTCTCCGAGTTATTTCCCTTGGCCCCCATCTTGGTGGTCAACCAGGAAATATGGCGGCCAACGGGAAATAACTCTTGCTAATTTGGGCCTACTGAAAACTATCTATTACACTCGGGTGAAAGCGTCCCCACAATCTGGTATAATCTTAAACTATGCTGCCTGAAAACTTTGACATACATATCCTACTTGGTACAATGTTTTATGTACAATAATTTAGCAACAAAGTTAACAGAGAAGATTACACAAACCTAAGAATATCAGCAATTTCCTCACGATTGGCTTTGTGTTTCAGACTACCATCCGTCGGCTGCTGCGTGATGTCTAAATCACGTAACATGATCAAGGGGGATAATTAATACCATACAAACATGCTGTCTTTGACTCTCAGATAAACCGATTTAATAAATAACATTAACTCCTAATATATTAAAAAAAAATAAATATAATTGAGTTAAACTTGTTTTTCAATGTTATCAAAAATCAATCAATTCAAACTTTTTAATGCTTTTTTTTTAAAATAAGAAAATTAAAAAGTCCTTTTTGGCAATTTTCTTCTATTGAAATAATCAGTCGCATAATTTTCTGTACCTCAATTCCCTGTAGAAATTTTCAGTATAAATAAATCAATAATTTTGGAAAATATTTGAGTTGTTTTTCGAATTATTTTAGGAATCTTTGTCGGGTGCATCAAAAGAGGGATATTACGGTATTTTCCCTCAAACCATTTCCCTGGATGACTATGGAGCAAAATGTTCTGTGACTTACACCAACAAAGAAAAAGGATTTGTTCCATCCATGTGGTTTGTCGATGGAGTTCCAATTCTCTGTAAGTTTAAAACATCTTTTCTAGCAGAAATACAATGTACAGTACTTTCTGACAGATAATATATAATTTGTTAACTGTTTACGGGGTCAGTACAATGGTAATTGTTTGGAAAATCTGTAATCGGTTACTCAAAAAAAAAAAAATGTGTGAAGTTGAACACAGTTTCTATATTAAGAAAAACCCAATTTCTAAATTTAGAAAAACCCCTGACCTTGATAAGTTGGCCAATAAAGGAGCACAGAATTGAAATTAAGGGGGTTATTGTTTATGTTACAGTTAAACAACATGCCATTACCTGCCTCTCCTGTATTTCTTTAATGATATTCGATAAATTGCAGTTACCTATCAAATTATTGTGAAGGCTTAGTTCTGATTTTGATGACGATGCAGAACTAGAGGTACTGTGAGCACTGAGCTCACAAAATAGTACCCCCGTCTCTCATATGTTTATTATGGCAAAGCCCATGTTTTGCTATGGGAGACCCAAAATATGTGTCCGATCAAAAAGTAAAATAGGAGGTGCACAATGACTTTATGTAATAAAGATTCTATGAAAGTATCACTAAATTTTATTCAGTGGTATAGGAGGAGTTGCGGATAAGAGAATGGATACCCCTCAATACTATAGAAAAATGGCAGTTTTCTATGTTTTGCTCTTGGAAAACCGAAATATGTGTCCGATCAAAAAGTAAAATAGGAGTTGCATAATGGCTCTCTGTAACAAAGATTCCGCGAAAGTATCATTAAATTTTATTCAGTGGTAAAAGAGGAGTTGCGGATAAGAGATGTGTACCTCAAAGCGTAACGGACGGATACCCCTATCACTATACACCACCCGCTTTTCATGCGGGGTATAATAAACTTGTGTCACATCTAATGAAAAAGGTGAAGCTAATGAACAGTGACCGATCTAAAAAAAATATAGAAACGATACAGATCTGTGAACAGGGCAGAAAACACTTCCAGAAATTCCAGAGGTGGACCCCGGTGCCGAGGAGGAGTAAGCATTCTCTGCCGATCGGTCACCTCCGCCGTGAGCCCTATGTATTCATCAGGTAGGTTAAAAATTCAGTAGTCACATTTAGTACAAAAATAAAGGCCCAACGATTCATGGTATGAAACATATCAGCAAAAATCAACCCAATGATAGACTAAATTTGTTAACAAAGACATTATAACGACCATAGAATTTACGAAATGCTGACTTTAAACGAGGTTGTTGAAATCCCTGTAACATCAACCTATTTGTCAGGGTTGTTAAATTTTTTTTCAGTTAAATTTGTAAACGAAGTCAATATAGCTACTATAGTGCGTCTGAAATTTCTCCTTTTGCAGCAGTTGATATTTTTTGAAGGAGTAAAGATAGGTGTTCAATAGAACATTTGCTGCGCCCAGTAATGTATCTTTGTTTGTAAGGATTTTAATGAAGTTTAGGAATCCAGTATAGTTAGGGCAGATCATCATTTTGTTGACTGTGATGAGAAAAGTTTTAAACACTGAAAGGTGATTTTGAAGAGTTTTATCTTTAGAAAGTGAACTGTAAGTATATGTTGGATTTCCAGACAAAGAATTACAATCAAGTTCTTCTAAAATACAGTTATAACTAGAGGTACTGTGAGCACTGAGCTCACTTAATGATACCCCCCGCCTCCCATATGATTATAATGGCAAAGTCCATGTTTTGCTCTCGGAAACCCGAAATAAGTGTCAGATCAAAAAGTAAAATAGGAGGTGCACAATGGCATTATGTAATAAAGAATCTGTGAAAGTATCATTAAGTTTTATTCAGTGGTATAGGAGGAGTTGCGGATAAGAGATGGGTACCCTTCAATATTATAGAAAGAATGGCAGTGTCCATCTTTTGCTATGGGAAATCCGAAATATGTGTCCGATCAAACGTAAAATAGGAGGTGCACAATGGCACTATGTAACAAATATTCTGTGAAAGGTTCATAAAATTTCATTCAGTGGTATAAGAGGAGTTGTGGATAAGAGATGGGTACCCCAAAGCGTAACAGATGGACGGACGGACAGACGGACGGACAGACGGACGGACGGACGGACATCCCGATCACTATGTACCCTCCCACTTTTCAAGCGTAGTGGTATAATAATGAGCCTAACAAACAAATTCGATCTGAAAAAATTGTCAATGACTATGATATTTCAGAAACATTTCATGGTTTTCTTAATTTTTATTTTGTCTATTGAAGTTGAAATGAAATATGAATATTGTTCTGGTCAAGAAAAACTGAATAATATTGTCTTTTTCAAACTTCTTGTGTAAATGAATGCAGCTTACTAGAAAAAAATATGTCAAGAAAAGTGTATTTTAAGGTAGATATATAAGGTGCAATGAAGGCCATTATTTCTGTGTTAGTTAGGACGTAATTTGTAGTGCTTTATACATTGTCATATATATATATATATATATATATATATATATATATATATATATATATATATATATATATATATATATATATATATATATATATATATATATAGATAGATAGATAGATAGATAGATAGATAGATAGATAGATAGATAGATAGATAACTATTGAATAAACTCTTTTTTTTTTTTTTAAAATGATAAGATACTGTATAATATAGAATAATATTTTACATTTTAGACTGTCTTAGTGACTAATACAAAATGCAATTGACATTTTTTTTAAAGTAATGCATTAAATTACAGTTACTTGTAATTGAAAGATGGATCCATTAAACATTACATCCCATTATTATTGAAAAAATGTAATGATTACAATGTATTACCATTACTCCAGGTCTGGTTTGAATAATATTTAGAAAAAAAAAATCCTGAAATTTAATGCACGTAAATTTTCGTGTGACCTTTTTGCACTTATAAGTATCATATTTGGGATAATCTGAACAGGCAATAGAAAATTTTCTTGTATCGAGCTTTTTATGACTTTATCGCCGATCATGTAAAAGTAATGTGTAATTTAAAATAACGTAAGAAAAAGCTGAGACCAGTGATGGAAATTTATAGTTATTGGTCAGAATATGTGATTTACAGGCGAAAACAAAGTAAATTTACCTTGACTTCTTCAGTATACATGTATCTTCATTTTTGACCAAGTACGTTGAGTGAATGTATAAAATTTGTTCTAAAAATATAAGTTGAGACCTATTTATAAATATAACTAGCATATAATAACGAAAAAAAAAATCTCTGAGCTAAAACATAGAGGGCTTATATTTCAAAATATTTTGATTAAAGAAATGTGTAGATTTGATAAATATTCTCTAAATATCCTTCCACTACAAGAAATAGTCCCCGGTAAATTTTGTTTCTTAACGGGGTTTTTTAAGCACTTTTAAAATTGAATATTGCATAATTTGCTATTTTTAAAATTCAAATATTTATTATAAAAATTGAATTGTAATTGATAATTTTGACATTAGAGGTTCTGACCAACTTTTTTTTCAAAAGCTGACGAGTGACAAACCTAAAGTCCTGTAGTGGAGAGTTAGATATTTCAATGTTTGGTATACGTCTGCGTTACAATATGGATTTAATAATTGCTTCAAAATTTTGGGATTCTTCTGAATTCTCAGTAATCTATCTAGTAGTGTCGCAGTCTGACATTGAAATAATTTGTAATGCATTAAAAATAAAATTGAACTTTTCATTATTTAGATAATGATCCTGATTGGTTTGTGGAAGAGACGGGTTTTTCCCCTTTCTCGTCAACCTTGTATTCTCGTATCAAAAACGTTGATGCAGCAGACAAAGCTATCCATGTTAATTTCTACAGCTCGTCATGCAAAACAACAATTGATTTTGGGAAGAAAAGGAAAGACAGTCGGATTAATTACAAAGTTTCTTCAAATACAGATTTTCTATACCTAACCTCATATTCAAGAAATGGTGCGATGGGATTTAAGATGCCCACAGATATAAATGTCAAAAGTAATTCACAAACCCTGGATCTACAGAAAAACCTACAGTGGTATGTATTTATTTATTAGAAACATGCACAGTAGAGCAGTTGTTCATGTTGAATTCAATGGTTTTTATCTCTAACCCAACTTTATATACCAGTCTAAGAAATACAAAACTTAAAATGTAAGGTAAGAGCTCATTTCACATGAGCTTACAAGACTATAGCTATTAACTTTGATGACAAACATGATCAAAGACTTAACTCTTCTCTAAAAAAAACAAGAGGCCCAAGGGCCTTAACGGTCACCTGAGTACAATACAACAATTTAGAGGATCCATAAACTGATAAATGAAGCTTTGCTGCCCAAAAGCAAGAAAAATAGTATGATTAGCATCAACAAAATGATTGGTCTAGCATCTATCTGTCCTCTATTTATCACTATTACCATGCAGACTATTAACAAAATGTATATTTTATAAACCCATATTATTACTTCTCACATTGGCCTCTCTTGGCCTTTGAAGAGCATTTAAAAAGATAAGTTATTTTTGTCTTGTTTTTATTCATCTATTATTTCCAAGTCTACCTGATCATTAAAAATATGAAAGTACTTTTTGTATTACACAATAAATATTCGTGCATAATTCTCTTATTCTATTAACCTTTCAAATACATTGTTTACATTGATTAATTATCAAAGGTGAATGGCAAAGGGGAATAACTTTGCTCAGCAGAATACAATTTTAAATTAATAGAGCCCTGGCCAGGACCAGAACACTTTATTAAATGGTCCAGGTTGTTCAAAATTCTGGTAAAAATACATTTGCCCATTAAAAATTTTACTCGGTTTGCCTCGCATATGCCCAGAAGCATAGCTTTTCACGGAAATGCATTTTCACTATATTATTAAATAAAATAAGCCCCACCCTTACACCAGAACATCTGACCAAGGGCCATGAACTCACAATTTTGGAAGAAGCAACTATGCTCATCATAACTATGAACTTAGTTTATTTAATATCCAGGAGCAGAGAAGAAGATTTTCAAAGAAGTAATGCATTTTCACTATATAGTCAATAGAGC